GACTTTATAAAAGAAATTAAGACAATGAAGCACTTCTAAGCAACACAGTAACTTTAAGCGATACAGTATTGCCAAATTGCTTTGTCATGGCCCACTGGTTCTCAGCCACCTCCTTACAAGAATTTCTGATAGACTGTCATCTACACAAGTAATAAGAGGTTTTCATATCGTTTACTAACAAATGACTCCTTTTATTATTCGAGATGTAATTCAAAATATAAGTAAATAGCATAATACTATACAAATACAAAGATGGGGGAAACCAAGTGACAACAAACAATGTTCTAGAATAAATGAACAACCTTCACAGATTTTGCCACCAGCCTGCAGATGAAGTCCATGAAATCCAGGTCTTTGTAGCAGTGTGTAATGACAGTACCCCTCGCCAGTGGGACTCCAGCTTTCTTTACATGGTGAAAAAAGTAGAATTAGAACACTCAAGGGTAAAGTGAAGCACCTGAAGTAAAAATTAATATAATCTCTAAATAAATCCTACTGAACAGTTAACACCATTTAAATTTAAATAAGTAATGAAAAACCACACGCTTCTCCAGAATTTTTGTATCTACATTAAGAGAGATGACAAAGAGCATTACGCATGATCTATATTCAAATAAACACATATTTTAACTGTAAATTATGTCAGTAACTGACAATCTTCCTAGCAGTAGCAAATACTTGCACCTTAAAAGCATACTTTTAACTTTGCCAAAACAATGACTAATTACAATCAAAGCTTTTTATAATTAACTTTATATTTAAAGAAAGATAGCAGAAACAACAGGTGGGCAACCAGGCTCCATCCCTGCAACTAAATCTTTCAGTACAGTTCTACAGCTAACCACACAAACAGGTGGAGCATATTCATATAAACCTAGTAACAGAATCAAGGTATTATTAATAAAGTTACTCATATTTCTCCCAACTCGCATCTGTTAAATACTTTACCCTTATTGGATCCATCCAGTGCCATTTATGAGTTGGGCTTTTTATATTTAAAAGCTGAATAACTCTCACAAATAGTTTAGTCTCATGATATGGCAGAACACAACCAATCAAACTATCTTGATTGTAGAGATGGATGTGAAATCTAAGGAGAAAACATATATATACAGTTAAAAATTAACTGGAAGAAAAAAAAAAAAAAAAAAAGACCCAGACATGTTTTTCTCAGAATACCTGGTTTACTTGCTTTTAAGCAAGATGAGAGAAATGGTCTGAAATTGCACCAGGGCAGGTTTAGATTGGACATTAGGAAAAACTTCTTCATGAAAGGGTTGTCAAGCACTGGAACAGGCTGCCCAGGCAAGTGGTTGAGTCCCTACCCCTGGGGGTATTTAAAAGACGGGTAGATGAGGTGCTTAGGGACATGGTTTAGTGGTAGGATGGCAGGGTTAGGTTAAGGGTTGGACTTGATGATCTTAAAGGTCTTTTCCAACCTAAACAATTCCATAATTCTATGATTCTATGACTGTCACTCTGACTCAGACATATGGTCCACCCGCAGTCCAGAATCCCAAGGTGGCCACTATGTGCTAGAGGAAAGAAACAGTGCTAGCAATTTTTTTTCCTCATTCTCAATAATTTTTGGTCCCTATAGGACTTAAAATTGCCTTAGTTTCTTTGGCATAGATTTCAATATTAAACCAGACATTACAATAATCTAGTATGAATTTCAGTGTAATACATACATTAAAAAAAATATGATTCAAAGGTTGTACCAACAAAATCACTCACTCTTTCATGGCATGAAATATTACACTTTCTGCATCTGGATAGGTTAATTTATATAAATAAATACAACATCACTTCACAAAATACTTGCTTTGTTTTTTCTTCACACCTTCTGACATAGCCTTGTAATAAGAATACTTAGCTCATGTTATAATACAAGGGCATACTATTCATGGTTCACAGTTAATATGGAAAACTAGCTATTTTACACAGCCCATTTCTAAAAGCATATTACATAAATGCCTAGGTCCTCTGTAAGATGGCTAGAGCTGGTCAATTTTGGTGAAAGCCAGGCAAGGAAATAATTGCTTTTATATAGAATATCATGACAGATCGAAATTTTCACAGATATTTATCAAAAGACAAAAATCCAATTGACAAAGAATAACATCTGGCCCCATGAAGACTAAGCCCAAATGGATATTTTTAACATTTTAACCTGTATTTTCAGAAAAATGAAGTAAAAATATTCAAAATTTTTCCTATTGGGGAAAAAAAAAATCTGGCATTTCTAGTAGCCTTATCTATGGACATGTAGGATATTCAGTGGATTACCTGTGAATCAGCCATTCAAGGCACTTCTGGGCTGGCTTAAGCATAAAGTAAGGGGACAGGTGAATCAGAAACAATGAAATATTCTTATTCAGCTGCTGATTTACTGCTTTAGACTGAACACTGCGTTCCAGACCTCTGGATGTGGAACTAAACAAACTGGACTGGAACACTTCAAATGAAGGATCAATCCCCATCAGCTCTTCTAAACCAGTGCATCCTGTGGAAAAAAATGGAAGAAAGCTTTAAACGCAACAGTTTTACTCACCAGTCCTACCCACCTACCTCCTCACTGGCACATCCAGCTCCTTTGCTATACTGGTATATGTCATCCTCACTAAAAAGCCAAACCAAATAGTAAAACAGGTCTAAGACCAAAACTTTTGCTACACTTAAGTATTTCCTAACTGACAAAGAAAAAGAATGTTAGCAAGTATCAGCAGCGTGTTCCTGCCGTGATGAAGGCCAGCAGCACCCTGGGCAGAAGTTCTACAGTAACTATTTAAGAAACTAAAAAATACTCTGTGTTGCATCAAAAACATACATAACTACAATCCTGTTACTTAAAATTGATATACAATATCAGTCTTTCTGGTTTTAGAAATCAGCTTTCTTATTCAAGAAGTATCACATTACTGGGTAAAGTTCTATACAAAAATGGAAAGAGGTAAGCACAAGGATTTGGTGTGTGCAAACTCAGCAGTGGCTTCTGCCACTTTACGTTATTTGTGGCTGTAACGTTACTAAAGAGCAGGACGTCAGTATGTTTTCATGAAATCACAGAATTCAGGTTGGAAGGGACCTTGGGAGATCTCTAGTCCAAGGCCCTGCTCAAAGCAGGGTTAGCCCCAAAAATCAGACCAGGTTTCTCAGGGCATTATCCTGTTGGGGTTTTCAAAAGGATGGAGAGCACAACCTCCCTGGACAACCTGTTCAACTGCTTGACTGTCCTCACAGTGAAAAAACTTTTCCTTATACCCAGTTTGAACGTCTGTTGTTTCAGCTTATGCCCACTGTCTCGTGTCCTCCAGCCATGCATTCCTCTGGACACGCTGACCCATCTTCTTGAAACCTCCTCGTAGATATCAGCAGGCTGCTATTAGACCCCTCAAAGCCTTCTCTCCTCCAGCCTGAATGAGACCAGGGACATTCCTCCCACCAGCCTCCCCTTATAGGGCAAATTCTTGACCTAGGCCCCCTGACTCTTCCCAATCACCTCACCCATCATGTGCCCAGAAATGCCCAAGAGGGCCTGCTCCAAGGTTTTCCCAAAGACTGGAGTGATGCTGACTAGCCTGTAGTGCCTTGAATTATCCTTTTGGCTTTTTCTGAACATGGGTTTGGCTTTCCCACTTATCTTTCTCCAGCTGGTTTTTTTTGGATAGATGGTTTTTAAAATCACAGGCATCGAAACAGCCAGACTCACCGATCGCAAAGAAGGTATCCCTGTCAATGCTAGCAGCTTCCTTGCAGCTGAACAGCAGCGATGCTACCTCGCTGCGGTTGAGGAGGCTGGGGTCGTTCTGGGGAAGCGCCAGCCGCTTCAGCTGCTCCGCGAGGGACGTCATGGCTTCGTGCTTCCAGGAAAGGAGCCCCCAGATAAACCTAATGAAAGAAAACCAAAGCGACCCGGCGGATAAAGCAGCTGCATGGAGACGTGCCGCCTCTCTCCATCTCCTCCCGGTGCAGGCCCCGCTGCCAGCTGCCCCTCGGGGGTGCGCACGCGTGGGGACAGGCTAA